GGATTTCTGTACCTTGGACAGACGGAATCGTGGCACAGCCAGCCTATCTTTGCCTCTTGTATTAAAATTATGTCTATCGCTTCTTTTTTCAAATAATTGCAAATTTTTCCTTACATACATAATATTTTCATATATAAACTGACAAGGCACCGTCAGGATATTTATCGTTTTAAATAGTTCTCTCAGAGATTCGCGACGGGGCAAGTTATATATCGCTCGGATAGCCCGCTTTTGTAGAATAAATATTGATTCTACTTCCGCAGCTCGACCCCACAGCAAAATTCCGTATGACATAATGCTGTGAAAATAGCTAAAATAGACAAGCCTTGCTGTGTTCACGTCTGTGAGCTGTCTTATCTGTCTAACTGCAAAAACAGCAGAGCTTAGTCTCCCCGAAAGCGTCTTTATGTGGGAACCCCATTGAAGTCTATTGTCTAGTGTGATACCTAGAAACACTGTCTCGTTGACAAATTCTAACTTTTGCCCATTTAAAATTATGCTACAATCATTACTGTGTACGTTGGGCAAGCTAAATTTAATACATTTTGTTTTTTTCTCGTTAAGTGCTAAATTATTGACTGTAAACCAATTATGAACTTGATGAATGGAGCTGTTTACTTCGTCAAAATTATTAGAACGTCGACCTATTTTAAAAATTAATGATGTATCATCAGCAAACAGCACCATACTTGGCTCGGTTTTAAATAGAAATGGCAAGTCATTAACATACACTAAAAAGAGAAACGGACCCAATATTGAACCCTGTGGAACGCCCATTCTTATCTCAGAGCCCTGTGAGTTATAACCACCTACATGAACTCTCAGCTGCCTATCCTCTAAATATGATTTTAGTAGACGGAGTGCAGTATGTCTAATCCCGTAATGATCTAATTTCAGCAAGAGTGTTTCATGATCAACGCAATCGAACGCTTTTGAGAGGTCGCAAAAGACACCAACAGCATCCTGTGCTTCCTCCCAAGCACCGAGTACTTCCTTTATCAACGTGACACCGGCGTCAGTTGTACAACGACCTTTAGTGAAACCGTATTGTTGGTGATGGAAGATGGCATGTTTATCAAAGTGATGAAGCATCCGAGATAGCATTAACTTTTCGAACACTTTGCTAAGAACCGGCAGAACAGACACAGGCCTATAGTTGTTTGGTTCCTTAGTGTCACCATTTTTGAATAATGGAATAACTTTACTGTATTTCATTAGGTTTGGGAAGACACCGTCATCTATACTTTTATTGAAAATCAAAACCAGATACGGCGCTAAAGTTCGGATAAGTGATCCGCAGACTTTCACGGATAGTCCCCAAAGGTCCTCAGTTGATTTGACCTTGATTTCTTTAAAAACCTTTATTATCTCTAAAGGACTAGTATAATGAAAACTAAAGTCGCATTCGCATGATTTAACATTTTCTCTAAGCAAAGTTGCCGATAGTCTGGCCGATGATTTTAAATGAGCCGTTGTTTTGACAGGTATATTAGCAAAAAAAGTCTCAAACTCCTGAGCTACATCTGTGCTTGACGAAATCTGTCCCCTCTCTGTGTTTAAACAAAAAGCCGAATGTTTTAATTTATTCCTACCTGTCTCATTCTGTATTATTTTCCACGTAGCCTTTATCTTATCTTCAGCTGATTTTATTTTATTACTGATGAAAAGACGCTTTGCGGTTTTGCATACTATTCTAAATGTCTTTGAGTACAATTTTACATGTTGATGAAAAAGAGGGTCGCAATTGTATGGTTTCATGCCATAAAGTTCAAAAAGTTTATCTCTACTCTTACGAATACCTGCGGTAGCCCAATCGCTAAACTGAAACTTAGCATAGACGTCTTTATATTTCATTGGCAAAATATCTTGAAATTCCCTATTTAACACCGTAAAAAATTTTTCGTATAACCTGCTTGGATTACTTACATCAAAATTTTCTATACTTAATTTAGATGCTAATGAATCATTAAGTTTCTCTAAATTTTTATTTGTTATATGTCTAAACTTTATTTGAATTTTTTGAAGAGGCAAATAAGAGCTGTAAGTAACCACAAGACCACTGTGGTCAGAAGGTAAACTGTTTATAACTTTTTTTTCTAAATAGTTGCAGTTACTAAAAATGTTATCAATACATGTGGCTGTGGAGGGTGTTATCCTAGTCGGTTCTAGAAAAACATTTTTTAAATTAAATGATTCAAACAAATTTAATAGCTCCATGCCACTTGTATTGTTCTCCAATAAATTAATATTAAAATCGCCACATACAAGTACTGATTTATGGCTAGAACATACTTTTCTCAAAACATCTTCCATTACAGAATCAAACAATGCAAGATTCTGATAATTAGGTGGTCTATATACACAAACAACAACATGTCTATCCAGCTCAACACAGGACAACTCAATAGTGTGTTCAACTGACAGTGCTACAATATCTTTCCTTTCTTTGGACTTAATGCCATTTTTAACTAAAATTAAGGACCCGCCGTGTAACATATTCTTTCTACTAAAATTACTTATTACAGTATAATTTTCAAAATTGAAAGATATTAATTGGTCCTCTTTCAACCAATGTTCTGCTAAACAAACTATATCAAATTGTGTTTTCTCAAGAAACATTTCTATTTCAAATATTTTAGAGGAGCAGCCCTGAATATTAATATAAAATAAGATTAAATTGTGCTGCCCCTGAGCCTGTGTAACAACATTAGATATGAGTTTTTTTTTGCCAGAATATACCTTACTCCTAACATTATATATGATGGTATGTTCTGTTGTCTTAAAATCTAGTTTAAATCTATCACTGTGTTGTTAGGTAGCCTAGACAGCACAGCTTCGTCCCTAAAACTAATATCTGTTATATTTTTTATAACAGAGTTAATATTGAATGCTATTAGCATAGCAAGTGTACTACGATATGTTTTTGAGAGGGATATGCCTCTCTCTGTCAATCTAAAATCACTAATAAATTTATTAGTGTCAAAAAATATAAGTTTATCACTATGACAACATGTCAATTGGTGCAGTGTACTGTTAAGTACACCTAAATGTCTATTTTTGGAGTCTGTTAAGGTACTTGAATAGGGAAATGCACAAAGTATTATTTTTCCCAATTTTAATTTTAATAAAGTGTCCACACCGTTTAAAATGTCCCTTTTTTTTACATAATATTTTATATTATGAAGTTTCTTGCTCGTTCTTCTACATTGGAACCTACACATTGGAGCACCTGGCTTCACATACGGACTGACTGACATACTATAATTCTATTTTAACGTTTCAAAAGTGTATTATGGTATAGTTGGAATAAATAATTAATTTTGACATTGACTTCGTATGTATGTTTTGATTATCCAAATAGGCAGGACTAATAATCCGGTAGGTACTGCCTAGTACGTGTACGATTTAAGCAAATTTAAAACTTCTTTTGAAAATATGTATATTGGATTTTCTAAGGTTTTTTTTTTTGAAACGGGCGCATTCTGGACTTATTTTAAGCCTTTCATATGGAAAGACTTAGGTACGACAGGACATATAGCACTCATAACTGCTACTACATTATAACCCAATAAAATTGTGTGTGTAATGGAATATTTTTCATAAGGTAGAAAATTGTAAAATCCTTTTACCACCCTGAGTGTGGCAAGACTGTCAGACGCTTGCTGACTAAAAAAGAACAAGATGGCCTGCTCCTTCTCATGCTCAAGGCTACAGTACGTGACAATCATCAAATGACTTCTGACGCCCAGGGTGAGTGTCAGACTCTTACTAACTAAAAACCACCGCGTCCCTACTCCTGATCCGAGCAAGGGTCTCGGTACATCACTACGTTAATACCAGCATATGCTGAGCATAGGCCTTGTTGGGCCTTATCTGTGGTGGTCAGCGTGCCCGGGAACCTACGCGCCGTAATGGGTAAATCTGGTTCGAAAATTCGAATACAAAAACATCTATATAATAATGAAACCTCTAATAAATCAATTTCACTCACACTTTAGAAAGATCACACCTCATTAATCATATAATATAAAAATTAGTTTATGATTCCATCCATGAACGTAGATTAATGCAATAGCTTCCTACGCTGTGTGCCCTCATTCGATTTCCTGTTACTGCCATATTTTACTCATCATGGCTAACACAAGTTATACTAGTCAGACTGAAACCAATTTTACCTGAGTATTGCAAAAATTGGTGCAGCATTATCAACGTTTTTAAAGAAGTTATGAATATTATTTTTTTGGTATAGAAGAATTTGAAAAGCTAGCTAGCAACAGATACTACGAAACACAAGCATTTGCTAATACAGTAGAACTCAAAAACAATATTGTCTGCCCTCCAGATTCTTCAAAATTCAGAATAATATAACCTCTATCGATGAATGGACTTTTGTTACTCTTTACGTAAAATCTACTGAACGGGTCTAAATAAAATCATGCATAGGAAGAGGGTATATTATTATACTATATATTTCTGGAATATCACATACTATTTCTTCTGGTAGGTACAGTGAAAAAGGCCACTAGAAGAGACTAGTTAAACATAAATGATTTGCCAAGTTATATCTCTTCACTATTCTCATTATGACTGTCTGAAGTAAAAATGTAATTAAGGATGAATTCAGAGCTTCTAAATATCAATAATACACTATAATAAAGCCACCCACAGGTTCAACCACAGTACTCAACCAATGGTATATTTCAAACTTCCTCAAGAGTTATTACATCCATGATCTCCAAAGAAAATTCAAAATAAACCCACCAGGTATCAGCAATAGCGCAGTTTGTTTTGTGTTTGAATTTGCAATTATAAATGTACTCCCATCTGATATGGTAATACTCTTGATAATACCTGTCGCATGTTCTATAAGATAATATTTAAAAACGACTTAATTAAACTCGAATGAATAAAAAAAATACCGTAACCAAACAATCAATACCTACTAAAATTTGCCTTGATTTGAAAAAGACAAAGTAAATAATAACGGAACACATATTTACCTAAATGCAGCTTTAACTCTTGTCCATTTTGAAACTTTAGACTTCTCTACTTCTTTCATAAAAATGCCTTCAGATCTCCTTCTCAGAGGAGTGCCAGGAGCTACATCACTGTCATCCCCTCCTGCAGATCTGGATCTTTGCTTCCTTAGTAACGACCCACCGAACCTTGCATGACCTTTCCATTTAGACCCTGACCTTTTCATGCTCCTGTTGCCCATGACTGAGTCAAAAAGCAGTTGGCCATATTCACTCTCAAACTCAGCATCCAACGCTTCGTTTATCAGTTCCAACTCCTTGCTTTCAGATCTTAACTTTTCGTTTTCACTGTCTATCCTTTTATGGGCACTGTGGAGCCTCTTCAAGTGGTTCACGTCCTTCAACCTCTTCAAGAGACGAGTATTATTTTCTTTTAAAGTCACTAGCTGGTCAAGCAGTTCTAGTAGCTTTTCCAACTGATCCAGAGCTTCAATCGTGTCTTTCGTTCTTTGCGCCACTTCCTTGCCTCGCTTGGAAATGGCATCATTCTGATCTCGTAACCTTTGCAGCATATTCTCGCATATTGTTTCTGGATCTGCCAGTTCAACATCGTTAGGGGACCAATATTCTTCTGGAGGGGATGGACCTGCTGTGCAGGGAGAAGAACCTTCAGGATCAGAATTTTGAGGAGATTTGACGGAAAGAGAAGCTGGTGGCTCCCCTCTACGTCTTTTATGAAGTGAGGTGCCACTTGGCGGCAGCTCGGCCAACTCTTTCGGTTCTTTTCGTTCAGCTTTACTACTCTTCTCTTCTTCCACGTTACCGGCGTCAGTGACGTCACTGTTCTCTTTTAGTGACGTCATAGTGCAGCCGCAGAATGTCGGTATATGTCTGGACTATTTATAAATGAAAATAAAAACACGTGCATCGTCCGGTGGCGCGGCACGACAACTTATTACGGAATGCATTTTGATACAATCGTGGTTTCTATTGATAGGTGCATCATTTGAATGTCTATAAATATTTGGGTATGCACAGGGTTATCACATAACACTTTATATACGTTTATATCACTATCACTACACACTACACTTTCACTCGCACGCTTCAGTTAAACTATTTTAAAGCTTTTATCATACTTTTGTTTTGTTCACATAAATAACTGTTTCAATTAATATTTTAATTCTTAAAGTATCGCATTATATTTAAATGGACATCGGGTGTATGAATATTATTAAAATCAGTGAATATTTTAATTGATCGTTAGCGCCGCCCAACGCGTGTGCGCACGTACGGCGGGCGGGCGGCCGCGCACTGCCGAGCTTTGACGATCGCCGACGGAAACAGCCGAGAATTGCCGAAGACGTATTTTTAACTTTAACATTCCTAACATTGTAGTCGTGGTAAAATATTCTTTATTACGCCGTGTTAAGGTTTAGTTGCTACGAAAAACGTAATTTGGTTGTAATAATACATTCTTAATGTTAACACGATGCTTCCGAGTCGTCAGCCCATTAACCCATTTATGAAAAAGGGACTAAAAATCTCGTTTTCTCTTCTTGTATGCGATTTAGAGTTTGATTTTTAAATGGCCGACGTTTCAAGTACATGTCTTATGTAAATATGTAAACTCTATAAAAAGGTTTATTGAGAATATAAATTAAAGTTGCTTAATCCCGGTTGAATTTGTTTATAATGATAAATTTTGTATATTTTTCCTCTCTGCATGTTAAAATAGAATTAGATATTATAAAGCAAATCATCTTTTGAAAATATGTAGCAATAAACTACAATACAAAAGTTCTGAAAATTTTAACCTAGGTTTGGTTGAAATTAACATTACCATCATTATCGTCAGAATAAATACGAGCTAGCTACCTGCCAGAATACGAAAGTACGCGTACCAATGTAAAGAATCTACTACTAACCAAGTTATTACTTTTCTTTCCTTCATACATATATATTTACGAACTTTTTTCCTATAAGTTATACTTAGGTCTGGCGTGCAGCCGCTAATTCGCCTGGTAACTTGATGATGTGGTTGACGATGGAGTTCACAAACAACGGGAAAACCATCACATGGACTTCTCACCCAGGGTAAGTTGAGAGGGTGGAGGGAGTGTTAAAAACACCCCGTTCCTTCTCTTGGCCTTGGCCGCGGTACGTCATTGCTCTTGTTCCGGAACTTCGGCTGAACATCGGTCCTGTTGGGCCCTATCTGTGGTGGTCTATTGGATCTTTGAGACGCGCGCGAAACGATACGCGCTGTTCGCTCGGGTCTGGCTTTTTTAGGACGGCGAGCTATCCGTAGACTCACGAGAAGGAAGACTCAAAATAAATTTTAAAAAGGAATATAACCAAAGAGGTAAAATAGCAATCACAAAGAGTTCCATTACAAATTACTATAATGTAGCTGGCACATAATATTCTTGACGCGTAATGAGTGACAATTATTCATAATAAGAAGAAAGATATCAGTTTGAAACAAAGAAATTTTCTGTAATGTAACGCCCTTTTTAGATTTTTGTATTAAAAATATTTCGATACAGTTTTAGGTGTATTTTTTTGGAAAAATTTTGATTTTATATTATACTGATCATGATGTACTGGCGTCGGGGGTATGTTTTTTATTGTGTTATTTTGTAGTAAGGAGTGCTTTTCAGTGAGAGTGCTTTTTCACACTGTCTGGGTAGCTGGGTCGCCGACAAACGTACATTCTGACGTGTCAATACAAGTGAAAATGAATGCACAATGGCTATACCCGTTACTAGGCTCCAGAAACGATCTACTAAAAAACTGGACATAGTGAAAATGGCATTTCTTCACTTATATGAATATGAATAAGTTATAATATCCTGTGCATATAGTTAAAATTTAGTTGATAAAGACTTTTTAGATGGAATATCATCAAATCATTGCTATCGCCTTGGGTGGGGCGAGAAGTGTAGACTCAACTATAAATCATCTTGTTGCATTTTTTGCTTGCACTAGCATGCGTGTAACCGAAACCATAGTTGGACGCAATTTTTGATGGTCTAATATGGCTCTTTGAGGCGCGTGCGCTATTTGCCCTGGTTCTGATCGCTCCAACCACCGTAAGCAATCTCCGACGCTCGGAGTGTCTCCTGCGAGGCTGAGGCGTGAGGAGGATAATTCTCACACGCGCTGCGCCTTTGAGAACTGCTTCGTAGAAGGAGACTGCTTCTTAGTTATCTCGCTACACAGCAGTGCCATGCTAGAACTAGATAGACTTGTTTGTGTAAAAATATTCGGTTGCATAGCTATTATTGTAAGCATTTTAACTAAAAGTCTTAGTGTTAACTGAATTCATGAAAGCTGAAGGTTATCAGAACGTCACTAACCGCCCTACTCAGTTATTGAATAATTACCTACTCAGTCCTTAGTAATTAGTTTTCGGAATAAAATTGTTACTGGCCAGAAAAGTTCACTTAATTATTAAATCACCACATCTTGAATGCCTCATTCAGTGGTGGATGAGCCAAGAACGAGGAGACTGATCGAAACTCCCACCCCCTTCCCCCCATTACAACTTCTGATCCGCGCTGGACCGCGGTAAATCATGCGCTTGACCGCAATCCCGGTCAGGACAGCCAATGATCCTGAGCCCTGTTCCATTACTATACTTATCTGCAGGTGACCACAATTGGGGTGCCACGGTGCCATGGAGCCCGAAGATGAGAAGAAAAAGAAGCTGAACGATGACGTGGTGGTGTTTATGCGCAAGCGCAGTGAAACCGAAGCACCTCGGTATACTGCCCGCTTGAAGACCTACGTTGATTTCCAACAAAAGTACGTGACTTGTTATTTTCTAGTCTAGGGTTATGATGATACTTGATGTTATTATGTTATTTTCAGTTTAGGTATGATTTTCTAATTTGCATCATCATCATCTTCATCATCACCCGGAAGACGTCCACTGCTGGAGGACTCCCCCTTAGTACTCCTATTTGCATCACTATCTTGTAAACTCCTGCCAAAAATGTAATAGCAATGTAACACAAACACGACTAAAAATATTTTGTCGGTCGCCGGCGCCGGACAGAAATATTTATTACAAAACTTTTCTACTATCAGTTTCGCTTTCGGATTCTATCAACCAATTCAAATTTCGAACAATAGTGTCATTACGCTACGGATTAAAAGAAACGACTTTACCCTTCTCTCTTTTCAAGTCAATTATTATAGACCTTGTCTGGAGTATGCATGCAATTCGTTATTTTAGTATTTTATAAATTTATACCACTGTTATATGTCTATCTGTTATAAACTTTCCTAACCTACAATACTTAGGTTAGGAAAGTTTATAACATCATCTCACTCACTGTTTTTGATTGGTTTTTTAATTACCTTCAAGCTGTAGTAATACTTTTACTTTTGATCGAAAATTGCTATTACTTTTCGAATAGGAGTCGGCGCGCGGCTGCCGCAAGGCGCCATTCCGAGCAAGGTCACCACCACGAGAAGAAATCGCCAGGCTCCGCCTCCAAGAAGAAGAACGAAGGCGACCAAAAAGATAAAATTCAGGAAAACCAGTGAGTATTTCGACGTGCGATGTCAAGAACGGCGCGTTAGTGTTTCGAAGGAATTGTCTTTTTATAGAATAGTATGTGACATTACAATAACATGTCAGGTCGGCAAATCAGCAGTCGGATTACCTGATGGCAAGCAATCAGTGCCGCCCAAGGATACTCGTAATACCAAATGAGTGCGTTGCCGACCTCTTGTAGATTATTAGGGATTAAAGGATAGGGTATTCGAGAACTAAAGATTGGGGGAGGGGAATAGAACCTCCGGTAACTTCACCCACTCGGCAAAATACAAGCTCGCGATTACTTAAATATTAATTTCCTTCGTATTGTAAAACTCGTTGGTTTTCTATGAATTTGTATGGGATGAAGTAGTGTGTAGTTGTTATTTGAGCGAAATATCATACTTATTTCATGGAGTAAAAAAAAAATCACAATAGATAATTTATGTTTTTCCTAACTACCCAATTGTAGCCTGCCAAGTGAAGATATTCTGGCAAATCCCCCTTTTTTTGGAGATTGGCATATAGTGTTATTTGGAGGAAATCTCTTGTAGCGGCTGCCAACTCCTTGATTCTTTGCAGATTGACCACCAACAACTCTTTTTCCAGAGAACACAGCGGGAACGATGAAGAACGCATGAGTAGGAGGTAACTGAACTTAATATTTACATCTTATTTAACACAAGTGATAAAATATTGGTAGTATAGTATAAGGTGATGAGATTAAGATGATATTCCCGTGACAAAAAGCAATTTTTTTTTATGTAATAGATCGGCAAACGAGCAGACGGATAACCGGATGGTAAGTAATCAGCGCCGCCTATGAACACCCGGAACGGAGGATTTACGAGTGCGTTGCCGACCTTTTAGGGATTTGGAGATTTAGGGATTGAGGAGGGATTGGGGGTGGGGAAGGATTGGGCCCCCGGTAACCTCACTCACACAGCTAAAACACAACGGTGTGGTTGTTTCACGCCGGTTTTCTGTGAGGCCGTGGTATCACTCCGGTCGAGCCGACCCATTCGTGCCGAAGCATGGCTCTCCCTCACTTAAACACCACCCGCAATTATAATATTCAAAATCTTTATTCTGAACTAAGTGTATAATGAACAAACTGATGACTTTAAGTAGTGCATGCCTGATGCCTGAAGGATGTTTTGTCAATGGCAATGGACAAATAGGAACTTGCGCACCATAAGTGCTTATGGTTAGTTTTGAAAACATTAGTCTTATTGTTAAATTGGTTATATCGAATATGCTTTACAGAGGACGCGGTGGCGGCAACGAGAAGAGTTTATACCGCACTCGGTCGTACTCCCAGTCCGCGTCGGGCGAGCCGTCCGACCGCTGCGGCCGCCGTCGTCGCCGGAAGAAGTGCTGTTCCCGTCGACGCCGTCGCTCGTGTCGTGTAACTATATCATTGTCTTATATTAACTAAGTAGCGACCCGCCCCTTTCGCTAAGGTGCATAGAGTACGTTGTGTAGTTTTAAAGATTTAAGCATACATAGAGATAGAATAAGCGACTTTGTTTCATACTATGTAGTTTTTACAATTGATAAACAAGCTTGTTTTGGAATAAAGGCAAGCTGAATACTTGTATAATATTGTGTCAATACCGATATTCTTTCACTCGTTAACTATGCTTTCCAGTCGCAGAATGATTTCCAAAACCCTTACACTTTTCTAATACATGTTAACATGGTCTGACCAAAACGATTTTCATTGTTATTTATATGTCTGTTTAAGTTCCAATAATTGCGAATTTCGTCGCTGGCGAATCATCTAGCCATAACAGTATGTGCTGGCACACATACCAACACCGGCTAGACATAACCAGAGTCTGTAGGAGTATGTGAATAGCCCTTGATATAACATTTGGCTGAGCTCAACTGACTGAAATTTTCATTAGCGTCGCCGTCGCCGGAGCTGTCGCCGCCGACGCAGGCGCAGCTGTAGCCGCCGCCGTCGCCGACGAAGTTGCCGACGCAGGCGACGCCGGTGTAGGCGCCGCAAACGTTGCCGCTGATGAACTCCGACCGTGCCAGCTTGTGCCAGTTAAATTAAACGGCGTGTGTGTACAATGAATATAAAAATCACGAAAATGTTTAAAAGTTGTTTTATTTGAGCGTTATTTTTATTAAGGTAAGATTGATGCCGTTTTATGAAGGCTGAGTAGTTACTTAAGTAGAGTCAGACATCATCCAGCCAATTACTGTTTTGACTGAATAATATTTATTGATTACAGTTTTGTGCTGGCAGAATGCACTTGCATCAAGTAGGTACATATAAGAGTACACAAGCATCAAATTCGCATACAAGTTGTTGCATTTCAATAATAGCATCGCATGTAAAAATCCTTTCATTAACCTTTTAACTGCCTACGTAGATCAAATCAAATAAAACGAAATATCGACATCGCAAAGTTAAGTATCGCACATTCCTCTTGAAGGTTTTTTAATTTTCAATTCACTGTGCCGGGCGCTTGGGGCACGCCGAACTGTTTTGAAGTCGGGGGTTAAAAGGTTAGCGCAAAAACAATTAACACATTTGTATTTTTTCTAGATATTTTTATACAAATTCATTAATAACAATCCGCGATTCCATTATTCATAAAAACTTCACGAGTGCCTATCTGACTTTTATTAACAAACGCAGTATTCCATGGGAATGCAAAAACACTTATCTCTTAGATAGCAGCTTCCCGTAAGAAAGGAGCATCATAAACATACAAAGTTATCACAAAATCAGACTTTTTTCAAATCTTAACCATAATGTCTTCGAGTTTCTTCCGTTGAAGGTCCGGGACTGTGGTCTCTTTGTGTGGTCTTCCGACTGGTAGAAGGAGCTCTAGTCTTTCATTCAAGGGCCTGGACAGCAGGTCTCTGAGCCGGGCGTTGCAGTTCAAGGGTGTTGACGTGAGGGCTACCAGACCACAGTACTGGAAAAATGATAATGGTTACATTAGGATCACGATAATCTTATACTGGAGAGCCAAGGGGGAAGCCTTTGTCCAGCAGTGCACGTCTTCCGGCTGATGATGATGATGATGAATGTTATACTTCTTTATTTTACAAAACTGAAGAGTTGTGTTGGATAGTCAAATAATCAAGGAAGGCTATTGGCTAAAATGTATCACGCTATGATTAGCGGGAGCCAGCAATGGCTGGTAGGTTTTGGGTCAATATTTAGAGGTTTTATGATTCTTTAATAAATAAATAAGCTTGGATATGATGCCCAGCAAAATACAATTGTTCCATTTTAAAACATGTAAGTAAGAGTAGGTCCTTTCCCTTTTAGGGAATATAGTGACTTATTTTGTCTGTTTTGACATATTTTCGTATTCGGTTGGAGCAGTAGCTGGACAACTTGCTGCCGTGCAACGTTCGACTTCCAGATCTAATCCTAGTGTGGGGCAATATTTTTTATACATAAAAAGCAACAACTAGCAACCTCCTAGCAACATGTAAATTATAGTATCAGAGTTAATAATGTTCGTAGTTATCACTTGACATTGGATTGTGACCTTTATTATAACAGCTGTAAAAGAAATTCTTATTTATCATGGTAATTTACCCACGAGCGCTGCGCAAAATGTTTTCTATGCTTTAGCCTTATTCAAGAAAATGAGGCCGTATTAAATGCTCAATATAGGTTTATCTGCATCAAGGTTTGTGCAAGGGCGACTGTACTTTATCTTGAAACTCCTCTGTACCTCGGAGAGTAAACCTTTCCACCTTTCCGCTATACAATTCAATGATAAAGGAAGGGAATCTTTCCGGCCATTTGGCATCCACCCTAAGCCAAAATACATGTCCCAATAATATATTTGTTTAGAGTGCCCTCAGACGACGATTTGCTTACCCTCAGACGGGCCCTCTAAGTTCGATGCCCAGCCGTCGAGGGCTCTCGCCTTACCAAGGGCAGAAGTCAGTTCCATCATTTTCCCCCGTTAAAAGAAGCATCCTTAATATTCAAATCATAACGAATAATATAGTGACTATTGAGCCTAACATTCCCTATCGCCTATCCACGGGTGGAAGATGTCTAGTAATAATTTTTGCCCTCAAAAGATATGCATTTTAGAGTTGATACTAATCTAGTGGTGATGATGACGGTCTGATGGTCTTAGCTAGTTTTATCTGGAGTTTAGTGTTTAGCTTGGAATAATAGGCTTATCTGCCACATAATCTGTAAACCTCCCAAAACTGTTACCATATAAACTAATATTAGTCAATAATACTGAATAGTAATAATAAATATAACATTTAAGTGTGGAAGAGTTATGCTTTGGCACGAACGGGTCGGCTCGGCGTGAGTGATACTACACCAGACCACAGACAACCAGCGTGAAACAACCACAGCGTTGTGTATCACCGTGTGAGTGAGGTTATCACAGACCCAATCCTTCCAATCTCCCAATCCCTAAATCTTCAAAACATCATAAAAATGATGCCTTGATATCATCCCTAAAATGGCGCCCATGGACACCCATAGTTGCGCTGATGGCTTACCATACGGTATTTCGTCTGCTCGATTGCTATACTACCAAGTAAAAAAAAACTGAAGGCCTAGTGGTATCTTTTACCCCATGTTACATTGGAAGGTCGGGAGACGAATATTATTTTTTATTTTCTTTACATTACCGTTCAAGGTCAATGTAGCAAACAGTAGATAATCAACAACCAGAAATAAACGCTTTGATCTATGTATAGTTTATTTAATGTTTACAATGAACAAACCCAAAGAAAACACACAACATGTTTTATGAAGTGACTTCTGAGAAATAAAATATCATGGAGTTAGAAAGTATAGATAAAATTGTGATGCTTTGGAACGAAGAGATGAAGAATATGAGTATGAAAGCGAAGGTCTAAAAGGTAAAGCTAGTAAAATTACTTGTTGAAAATTAATTCGCAGATTAACTTACAGTAAGCGCAATTCTGCATGAGACTGGTTTGATCACTACTTCAAAAAAAGTTATTTCTTTAGTGGTGTGTTTTAGGTTGTAAGCAGTTTTGGTACATATTAAAGTTAAAATCCCTGACAGGTGCCTATTTTGAAATAATAGTTACAGCTTTCTACGAGATGTTAACTAGTAGAAAACGAAATTTAATTTATTAGTTAGCCCACGACATCCAATTACGAAAAAAAACATGTCAACTTAAAAACATTTATATTATATATATTATAACTTTAATTCCAGAATTACACTCCTAGTAGACGATATACCTAAACCTCTACAGGCGGCACGATTGATAGAAAACCTTAAAACATATTATATAAAAAATTTACATTTAATCTGCGACCAATAATAAGTTCAATAATATTTATGACGCGTGACTCTTCAAAAACTTTGAGCTGGCAATATGTGAGAAACTTTCAACAATTGCAAGAGAAAGAAAAATGTCTTGACAGTGGCAGAGATCTCCTTCGGGTGGCTGAAGGAATATCGTAAATAGGTAAGTACTGGTTATATTTTTAAACCCTCACCTGTATAGCTGCAAGAAGTATACCAGCAGCTATCGCCGTGCTGATTTCACTGTAATAGTGCATCCTCTTCTTCCCATCTTCTCTCCAAGAGTGCGTTTGTCGGAAGACCAGCACCAACGCTGGGGCATCCGATAAATATGGCTTTACAGGCTTCGTCGCAAAAGGCTTCAAGTCCGTCACCCACTGCCGAGACATCCTCTGGTTGTAATTCAATTCTTCTTCTTCTTCCACTATCTCTCTTATAGCTGATTTCATTTCTGGATCCTGCACCACGATGAATGTCCAAGGTTCTGTGTGGGCTCCTGATGGTGATGTTCCTGAAATTGTAAAAGGAGTTTGTTAAGATCAGCTTAAATAAATGTAGCTAGCACAAAAATTTTTGTTTGTCGTTTGGTGATTTGTTTGATTACAAGACATGTAATTTTAAGACAAGGTAAATGAAAATATTAATTAGTTGTAATTTATCGAAAGTAAAGTGATAATACTCGTTAGAATTTTCTACTTCAACTTTGCTATTTACTACTTAACGTATTGGTTATAGCCAACCAAACACTACAAATAAATACCTAATCAAGCAGGATTTTCCAGTTTCACTAGTGTATTTCTGCAGGAAATCCTGATAAATCCAGTTAAGTTAAGAAATCTAGAAATATTACTACTACTACGTATATCCACTTTCTAAAACTGGCTAGCTTATAAGGTAATAAATAATGTGTGCAAAATAAAACTATGTAAAATTACACGATACTCTATTTGCTTAAGCAGCATTCTATCATTAAAAAATATTTGGTACCAAATAATTATTCTAGAATTTTTAGTATGAATGATGATGATGATGCAGAACCCTACTAGAAAATCTTCCTTCCAATCTACACAATACATGTATGTTCGACGAGTTATTATTAAAACTCAGACGTGACGTTAGGTATTGTCTAAAGATAATAGACCCCAAATATTCCTCACTAATAGTGAGATACCCCTGGCCTCATAGTATACCACTAGCTTGATGCATCGCTTTTTTTGCCCCGATCTTCCTACCCTTCCTACCCTCAGTTCCTCATTCCTAATCTCTCATCCCTTGCTTACTTTCAGTTTAACCGCGTAATTGTTGTTTGCTGCCATGCTACACCACTTAGTTAATCTAGTATTTATGTATTACCGTATCTATTTCATGATCTTGTTCGAATTAAAACTACGAATTAATTACACCTTTTTTGGTTTCTTCATCTGGAAACCAAAAAAGTTTCACAAACTACTGACACAAGACTCAAGTGCTCATGTCAACGACTTGTGCCAAACTGACTTTTTCATTTAATTTATTATTGTTTGGAGTCAATTATTGTACACATGTTTTTGAGTTTATCCATTTAAATGATACGTATTCGATTTCTTAGCAGCCATTTTTATTTGATTGAAGAAAATCATGGCATTTTTCAATCCGCAAAACTTTGTTCGAATTTTCATCGTCGTCTTCGTCGTTGTTATGACCACTATAGGCTATAAGGTGTACCAGCAAGTTGCATTTCTCAAAAAACAGAAGAGGGACATCATATACAACTACCAAGATGATGTCAGTGATAATGCCTCGTACTCG